AAGAAGGAGCCGGCGGGGGCTTTCCCCTCCGCTCCCTCCTCCTCGCAGAGGAGCCCCTGGGGCTTTCTGCAGTCCCTAGTGAGCATCAAACAAGAGAAGCCCAGCGAGCAGGAGGAGGAGGAGCAGCAGCAGCCGCAGCACCATCACCACTACGGGGGGCTCTTTGGGGGAGCGGGGGAGGAGAGACCCCCTGGCCTGGGGAGCAGCAGCGGGGAAGGAGCCGGCCAGAGTGTGATTCAGGACCTCAGCCTTCTTCATCACCTGCACCAGCATCCCCACCGAGACCTGTTACTGAGTGGCAGAGGCGAGGGCGCCCCTGGGAGCTCGGGTGAGCCAAAGCACGATACCCAGGTCAAGAAGGCAAAGAGGCCAAAGCCAGAAACTCAGGGAATCAAAGCCAAGCGGAAGCCAAGCGCTTCATCCAAACCCCCCCTGGTGGGAGATGCAGAAGGTGCCATTGCGTCCCCCAGTCAGAAACCTCACGTCTGCGAACACTGCAGCGCTGCCTTCAGGAGCTCCTATCACTTGCGCAGACATGTGCTCATTCACACGGGCGAGAGGCCTTTCCAGTGCAGCCAGTGCAGCATGGGTTTCATCCAGAAGTACTTACTGCAGAGACACGAGAAAATCCACAGTAGGGAGAAGCCTTTTGGGTGTGACCAGTGTAGTATGAAGTTCATCCAGAAGTACCACATGGAAAGACACAAGAGGACGCATAGCGGAGAAAAGCCATACAAATGTGACACTTGTCAGCAGTATTTTTCAAGGACTGATAGACTGTTGAAGCACAGAAGAACATGTGGTGAAGCCATAGGTAAAGCAGGGGCTGGGATGGAGCCCGGATCATCAAATAACATGGGTAGCTTGGCTGTGTTGTCTCAGGGAAATACAAGTTCCTCAAGGAGAAAAAGTAAAACAAAAAGTTCATCCACTGAAAGCAAAGGAAATAAGTGTAGCAGCAAGGTAACTGAATCTCAAGTTACAAGTAATGTGGCTATGCCAAATTATGCAGTTGATATTCCTATTGTGTCTTCCAGTGGTGGTCTAGTTGGCACAGGCGTAGAAGAACTTCAGAAAAAGGTGCCAAAATTGATCTTGAAAAAAGGAAGCAGAAAACAGGCAGACAAAAATTACCTTAATTTTGTATCACCACTGCCGGATATTTTGGGGCAAAAACCACTGTCTGGGAAACAGAGTGGCTCTCTAGGCCTAGTAGCCAATACCGGCGTAGAAACTATTGGCCTTCTCCAAAGTACAGGTGGTAAACCAGGTCAGATAAGTAGCAATTATGATGATGCCATGCAGTTTTCAAAGAAAAGAAGATATTTACAAACTGCAAGCAGTAACAGTGCCTTTTCAATTAATGTCGGACACATGACTTCCCAGCAGTCCGTCATCCAGTCTGCAGGTGTTAGTGTTATGGATAATGAAGCTCCATTATCTCTTATTGATTCAGCATCTTTAAATAGTGAAATAAAGTCTTGCCATGACAAGTCTGGTATTCCTGATGAAGTCTTACAGAGCCTTTTGGACCAGTATTCTCACAAATCAGAAGGCCAGAAGGAAGATCCTTTCAGTATAACTGAGCAGCGTGTGGACTTGCACACCTCAGGAGAACATTCAGAGATGGTTCAGGAAGAAAACTTGAGCCCTAACTCTCAAACAGTTTCAAATGATAAGGCGAGCATGTTGCAAGAATACTCCAAATACCTCCAACAAGCCTTTGAAAGAACAACCAACAGCACAGGTTTTGCTTTTGGACCCAGTTTCCAATTTGTTAGCTTGTCTTCAACTCTCCATAACCACACTCTGTTTCAAGACAAACAGATATACACTACATCTCCACTTGAGTGTGGCTTCAGCCAGTCCGTTACCTCAGTATTGCCAACTGCATTGCCAAAACCTCCGTTTGGGATGTTGCTTGGATCTCAGCCAGGCTTTTATTTGTCTGCTTTGGAGGCTACGCACCAACAGTTGACTCCCTCTCAAGAGCTGGATGATCTCATTGATCCGCAGAAAAACTTAGAGACTTCATCTAACTACCAGTCAACATCTCAGAAACTGACTGGCCAGAAGGAACAGAAAAACTTAGAATCCTCAGCAAGCTTTCAGATCCCATCTCAGGAGTTAACTAGCCAGATAGATCCTCAGAAGGACATAGAGCCTAGAGCAACCTACCAGATCGAGAACTTTGCACAAGCGTTTGGTTCTCAGTTTAAGTCGGGCAGCAGGGTGCCAATGACTTTTATCACTAACTCTAATGGAGAAGTGGACCATAGAGTAAGGACTTCAGTGTCAGATTTCTCAGGGTATACAAATATGATGTCTGATGTAAGTGAGCCATGTAGTACACGAGTAAAAACCCCAACCAGCCAGAGTTACAGGTAAGGTCCCAACTGTGACCAGGCTGTGGGGTCTTCTTAATGTAATTTTGTTTTACTTTGACAACACTGCCATTGGAATGTTTCTACACGGTCCTATTAAGAATAATGTAACATGCCCTTTCAATGCAACTTTTCATATTTAGTTTATTTTGTTAGTGTGATTTTTTTAGATCTGTTTATTATGGTTTTTAATCAAAAATCAATAGATTAAAATAGTGTTTTTGTTCAAGTGACAATGTTTAGCAATCAAATTTACATTATATAGATTGTCAGGGAATAGCCCAAAAGTTTAAAATGCAAAAAATTAACTTTGTTCCTAGGACTAAGGTTTATTCTAATTGCTTTACTCTCAGGAAAGTGTAACGAAGCATGGGAATTCTATGCACCGCTGGTGTATTGGAACTTCCAATCTACAGGTAGTGACAAATATATATCAGCTTTTTGAGGAAGGGATCTATGACATTTCAAATTGCTGTCTCTTATGTCTGGGCTGATCTGAAAGAATTTTGCTACCTAAACCTTGTTGTTTTTAAAGTACTCCTGTTCTTCCAGGTGATGCTCATTCCAGGCAGGTGGAGCAAATATTCTTGGGTCTGTACGAAGAGCCCAGAATGGTAGCTTTAATATAAACAATAATGTCCCCAGAACTCCTGTGTAAGACTGTAATTCCATAAAGAGATTCTGTTGACACAAACTGTGAGAACAAAACGTGCGCCTGGTTCATGTCATTAGAACCCCAACTTGAAACTACAACCATAATCCAGGTAGGCTTTTGGGATACATCATTTATTATACATGATTCAAAAAAGTCAGTTTCTTGCTCTTCCCCTGTTCCGTGCTCTTTTAGTGTATAAGGTTCCTTCTCTTTTGTTGTCCTTCCAATTCCTCTGGACTTGATCTTGGGTTCTGCCCCCCCCCCCCCCCCATTTTACATTTGTCTCCCCCCCCCCCCCCCCCCAATTTACACTTTTCCTTCCCCTTCTTCCCTGCTCACTTTCTCACCCCAACTTAATAGCTATCATTTCAAAATATTTACATTCCAGAAAGTATGTATCTTATTATGTACTTTCTGATGTCTTACGACATCAACTGGTGAACAATAAACACCCACATGTTTTAGAATTACATCAAGGTTTCCACGTACGATAAGAAATAATATACTCCCAACTGTACATACTAGGGCCCCTATCCTGCATCAGGATCAGCTAACATGGACCCCTGTGCCCAGCAGTGCACCAGTGGTGTCACTGGAACTCTTTTCAGATACAGGGGTTTGCAGCAGTTCATCATTGCAGGCTTTTAGGGCCTAAGGCTGCAATTCCGTCAAAGGCTTCTGGTGATGACATCAACTACAAAAGTAGAACTCGAGTGGCTTGTTAATATCAACAGAACTTTTCCTTGGAATTATTGCCTTACTTTATGTATATTTTGTGGTACATTATTTATTATATGTGAATCCTGATTAATGCCTGTGGAGCCACGGAAACCTGCTAGAAATACTGGTGGCCATTCAAAGCTGCTGAAAGGCAGTGGCACTGCTCTGAACCACTTTTTGCAAATGTATTTTTTGATTAGTTTTTTAATGTAATTTTGGTGATGTTTATGCTGATGGTTTTTATGTACTCTTGGTGATGTTTCAGTCTTACGTACTTTTCTGGTATCAGGAAAGTACCAGTGGTTGTTTGCAGTCTTATTGTGTAATCAGCCTATTACAGGCTTCCATGTATAATAAAGTTATTAACATTGTGCAAGTGTAAAACACTTCTGTTATGAAAGTGGTGTATTATTAAACGATTTGTTACAAAAATCCTGGGTAATTTCTCCCGTTGTCCCTCACCACTAAAAATTGAAACCTGAGCCCACTTGTAATCTCTTTTACTAGATGAACTATCTTTTTTTTTTTTTCCTTACTAATCTAAAGTTTGTTCTCATAGAATCCGTGTAACTCCATTTAACTTTTTCTTTATACTTAATTATGTATTTCACCCTATTTCAGTTTAAATAAGCAAACAACAACTGTTCTCTAAACACAAAACCAGCCTGTTGCCAAGGATGGAATAGTCCATAACCACTGTATTGGCTTTTTCAGTACCTTTTCTTTTGTTTTACAGAGGTTATAATTTACAGTCTTTATATTGTGTGTAGTAGAAGTTGCATATGTATTGTTCTGGCTGTTTGCTTTAACTTAATACTAATAAAACCCATTATTCACAAAATCATAAAGATATCACTTCTATTATCCAGTTACACTTTTGAGAACCTACTAAGGAAACGTTATGAGATTAAGTTTTGAGAAGGAATAATCTAAGTTACTGGCACAGTTTCAGCTTGTTTTCTTCAGTTTCTTTTTGGGTCAGATAATCTGAATGCACTATTTTAGAAATCAGGGCTCTATCTCATACCTTCAGCTTCCAAGGCAAAGACTAACATTTCTTCAAGGTAAAATGTTCGTACAACCTCATCTTCTTAAATCTGTGTCTTTTTGTGTATGGTTTTGGTTAAAAATACATAAATTGCATATTGTTAAGTTAAAAAACATTTTATAATTGCTGGAAATCCAGAATGACGCATATATAACAATTTTGTTCAAAGTAAAGATTTTAGAAAGTCCTCTATCTGTGTTTTTTTGTTTGTTTGTGTTTGGTTTTTTTTTTGTTTTTGTTTTTTTTTTTTTTTTACTGGGACAGCCTAGTAAAAATAGAATTATAGCAAAAACTTAAAAGCATTTTAGGTAACCTGAAGATAATTTGTTGACTTTCTTAACCTGTATTTTTGTTCAGCTTTGCACGTGAATGTAAGAGTAGGAGTGCTGAATGTCTCAAAATGGTTTAAAAGTAGAGTATTGAAGAATAGAAGACAGCAATTTGTATCAAGACAATGACACAGACAAGAGAAAAAACATTGGCATGCTGAAAAGCAAATAAGGACGAAAACTTTCCCAAGTAAATATGAAATATACTAAGTGTTTGATATTCAGAACATTGCTAGGAATCATTTCAGAAAACCTGAGGGGGAAATTATTAGAATTTTGTACGTTCTTTCCACAGCTTAGCAATCATTCAAACATGTTTCTAAATAGAACAGAACTAGACCTTTTCCTAATGTAATATGGAGTTCAGATTTATTTTTCTTTAAATAATGAAGGTTAAGGATATGGTAAAATGCATAGAAATCAGGGTATGGCTTTGCCTGCTACATATTAGAAAGAACTACATAGTAAGTAGTAACCCACATGGACTGAAGCTTTATTTAGGGATATGGCAGTGAGAGAAGGAAAAAGGAAAGCAAGCTGGCCCTTGATTCCCCATTCCCCCCTTTAGTTCTTGGTTTAGTTTTTTGTTGTTTTTAAAGGAATTACAGGAGGGGAATGATAACCTATTTCCTACCACTACCAAGAGTGTAAAGAAGAATTGATACACAGTATTAGAGAAAGTTGTACGTAAACTGTTAATGCTTCTTCTTATTGTAGCTCATGTAACATGTTTTTGCTTTGGAACAAGTGCATTATGGTACCCTGAATTGTGAATGTGCTTGTATGCCCCAAGCCACTAAAAGTGCGTGTCTGACCTGCCTGCAGATGATCTAGAAGAGCTAGCTATTTTGTAGTAGTTCCTGAATTATTTAAATTGGACACAGACTTGTGGGTAGCGTATGAAATTTTAGAGTAAGAAATCAGTGAAATGAAAAGGGAGATGAAAAGAAAAGTGAAAATATGATGATGTGAAGGGAGATCACAATTTCAGGTTTATGGACTACTGATGAAGAAAAGCTGCCTGATGCCTCATGGAGACCTTCAGAAGATACTGGAATAATTTTATGTATTCCGTTAGTGGTTTTTTGTTGTTTCAATTGTTTGATCTCCCTCTGCCCCCAATATTATATGAATGATGCTTCTGCTTTTTTTCCCACTAACTAGAAATCAGTGTTGTTCATGTGGAGTTGCAGTTGTGACTGTGAATACGTTTGCTATACCTGAGAAGATACATGTGAGAATATGTAAGTTACTACCTCACTGTTTTTTATTGTATGTGTTGAAGGGAATCAGGTCACTTTAACATGGAAGATTCTGTTTGCAGCCCCTGCTGAGTACCAGCTTTAACCATTTGGGCTGGAATTTTTCAGGCCTTGTCTGTCTCCCACTCCACACACTATCTTTCTCTGGGAAACTTCTGCAAAAATTGCTCATGTATTTCCTAAAATAAAAGTAAGGAAGAGAACTTTCTTGTTCTACTGGCCTTTTCATCCCATGCTTCTTTTAAAACAAATTGGAATCCCCCTCTCCAAGCTAGGACTTTAGACTAGGTTGATGGGTGTCCCTTGTTGAATCACTGTTCTTGAAAACCTGATAATAACAAATGAAGGGTTTTTGAAAATGCTTTTACATTCAGAGATCTGAAAATTTGGTGGCTGTATCTCCAAAGATGACCCCTCTGGGATAATGGATTGGGCTATTACAATTGTTTGGTATGTTAGTCCACATTTCTTCTAATGTGACCTGTATGGGGGCATATGTTGCATATTCTCAGACTGGAGTCAGTTTTCTGGCTTATATAAATTGTAGAGTCTTCACTTTTAATATTCTTCTAAGGTCATTTTTGTGCAATTTTTTTTTTCATACAAACACTTAAGAAAATAACGTATAGTATTGTGGACAGCATTTGAAACACAGGAGATATACTGTGTTTACCAAATGGATAACAAAATGTATCATAGCTGTTCATGTTGTTCAAAATATATGTCTTGCATCCCCTTTTTCACCTGCAGTTAAAACCCTGATTTATTTCAACGTTGTTTGTTTTCTCACAGATGGTAATGTCTGACTACATTACAAAAGAAAATATTTTTTTTTTTTGTATCCTTTTACTGATATTCTAATCTTATGGGGTTTGTAGATACTGATGCTAAAAACTTACTTTTGGATGCCCAGTTTCATTTTGATACCTATGACCTGGAGGGACAGGTACTGGAATTTCATCTCTCTGACACTGATTGAAGTTGAGTTCCTTGATATAAGACCCCTGCTGTTTCAAACTCGGTCTGAGAGAAACTGAGAAATAGTTACTAGCTTAGGAAATGGGGAATAGCTGATTGGCTAGAATCAAGTAGATGCTGTGGGGCAGAGTCGTGGGGTAACCTAATTCTCTAAGGTGAGACGTTCAGGAGCCTGAATCACTAGGTTGTCTTTTCACTTTTCTTGTGTTCACTGTAAATCTGGCATCTGCAACAAGTGAAACCAGGTTCTGCAGACAGCAGCCTCATTAAGCATAGTCCTGCTTCATTCTCTGAGTGTTGTCATCCTGTCTGTTGTGGATACAAACAGCAAGGCAGTGTTGTTGGAAAAAATACTGTGTCATCATGTAATCAGTCTGTCATAATGCACATACAAGATGGGGTGAATTGAGGATTAAAAGAAAGATTTAGTCCTGTCATTTTTTTAACTTACAGTTATTGGTTCATAATCTTTATAGTAATGTAAATTTTTGTATATAGCATGCTGCTATATTTTTTGTATTGATACTTTTCAATATTTTGTTTTTGTTAAATTTCCAGTGGTTTTGGTAATCTTAAGCCGACGGCTGTCCAAAGTAATGGTATGATGCTACACTAGAAAGCTGCCTCTGTACTTGGGGAGTTAGTCTGAAATTTGATAAAATACTATCTAGCCAGAATAAAAATGGAGAAAGAATTAAGAACTAATCCAAGAATATATTTATTTGCTTATTTTAATATACTCTATCTTACCTTAAAATGTATTTTAAATAGTCTCTTATTTAGTGCTACAAATATCAAAACATTCTGTGAGCTAATGAGGCATATAATGGTTATTGTGCAG